TATATATATATATAATTATTACTAGTTAATATAGTTAATAATTGATTTAAATCGATTGTACGTGCAAAATAAATAAATTTTTGATTATCACATTCCTCTATATTTCTTAATTAATATTTTCAATATAATTATTATGACAATCGCTAGTTAATAATTGATTTAAATCGATTGTACGTGCAAAATAAATAAATTTTTGATTATCACATTCCTCTATATTTCTTAATAGAAACGTTTAATATTTTCTTCCTTATATAGAACATATAACACGAGATTACCTTTTTTTGCCATATATAATAAGATATATACTGTCTGTGAAAAACTAAAAACAAATATTAACATTTACGCTACTGTGAGAGATTCATTCTCTTGTCCATGGAATAGATAGATTTACGAAGAGCGTTCCATTTGATCACAGTCAATCATACGGCCAAAGTTTTTCCACTAGACCAATCATTTAGAAGATCTTGCATTGAATTGGACAAATTGGTGACGTGACGTGAACAATTTTGATTTACGCCATACTTTCCCATCTATGTTATAAATGTTCTGTGAAGTATATAATACGCGCACGTGGGTACCAATGGTATTTATTGCATATGACATGCTATGTGTACTTTGGAGTATCCGAAAAAGTATTTCCAAGCTCAAGAAATATAGGTAAATGAAGATATATGTAGAAAATAATTTCGCCAGATAATTTCAGTGTAATAACTGTGAACTGTGATTGTTGATGTACAGTAAAATTGTGTGAGAGATTATGTCTTTCCGAGGACGCGGTGGTGGTTTTAGAGGAGCCGGCGGTTTTAGAGGTGGCCGAGGTGGTGGAGGATTTAATAGAGGACGCGGTGGCGGTTTCGATAAAGGCAGAGGGTAATCTCGTCAACATTGATAACACACAATTACATATCATATAATATATTTTAAAAAATTGTTTAAAAAGTTAAATTAGGTTATAAGGCATTTCAAATAAACATATTGTTTTCTCTGTTAATATATCATAGGTATGATCAAGGACCTCCAGAAACAGTAACGCCATTAGGACATTATCAATGGCCCGTAGAAGATATGATAGTTGTTAAAGGAGAAATTGAACAAATACCATTTTTTAATGCACCAATTTATATGGCAAATAAGCAACAAATTGGAAAAATAGATGAAATATTTGGTAATATTCGTGACTATTATGTATCTGTTAAGTTAGAAAATACAAAGGCTGCCAGTTTTGAGAAAGATACTGAGGTATGGCAATATTAAAAATATAAGAAACTTATAAGTTTACTATTTCTACTCGTACGAGTTTTATATATATATTATCAATTATTACTTATTGATTTTAGTTATACATTGATCCAGCAAAGCTGTTGCCTCTCCAAAGGTTTTTACCAAGACCTGGAGAACAGAAAAGAGGTGGCAGTGGTGGTCGTGTTATGAAAAGAGGTGCTGGAGGAAGGAGAGGGGGTAGTGGTAGAGGTGGCAGGGGAGGAGGAGGAGGCGGCGGTGGCTTTGGTAATAGAGGTGGCAATGGTGGAAGATTTAGAGGTCACGGAGGAGGTGGTGGATTCAATCGTAATAGCTCAGGTGGAGGAGGACGCGGAGGAGGAAGAGGAAGGTGGTAGGACTTAAGATTAATTTTATAAACAAAATATCTTTCCCAAAATAAATAGCAAATGCAAAAATATTATAATTGCAATGTATATTATAAGAATAAATATTCTTGACTGTGCAAAGGACTAAATATATTTTGTATAATTATTCTCTTAATAGAAAGTAATTCTGCTAGACATCTTTATTAATGTTTCAATTACATACTGATAATGGTGCAATTATTTATATATACATATACACGCATGTACATAGATATGTACTACAGCATAATGTGTATATCATTAAAAATTTTATAAACAATTGGATGATAACCTAAATCAATCTTGATCGAATTTTATACACTTTCCAAGTTTTTTCTCTGCTCTTTTCAACAATTTATCACGTCCTCTTTGCTTAACTTTTCCTTTTCTATTCAGTTTTTCTTCCCGATCACGTGCTATTTTATCCCAGTACGATTTCTCATCATCATCTAAAAAATTGGCACATAAAACCCATACATTAAATATATTGTGTGTGTGTATATTGGAATATGATCTTAATATATATTTACCTTTTAAAATTGTCAAGCATTTTCCTTCATAACTCTTTTGCACAAATGATTGTGCAGCTTCCGCTGTATCACACCTTATATAGGCTTCGCAAGAACCATGTGTTACATCTATATATTTCACAGAATTGTTATCTCTTAACTCCATCTGAAATAAATATATATAAATACTTGATATAAAATATATTAATAATATTTTCTTATTAAAGATATATAAAATTTTATAGATATATAGATATATTAAAGTCTTTTTCTAATAACGCTGATATACCTTGAAACTCTGTGGATCTGTGCAAGGCTCATCCATTTCAACTTTTACTATAATCCCTGGTGTATAATTGATACGTCCGTAAAGTGACTTTTCTGTCTCGCTAATCTTCGCATTATCCTTTTCATTTTTGGATTTATAATTCTCTCCAGCTGTATCATACCATTTCTTTCCTGTTATATTTTCACTTTTCTTCAAATGTCCTTTCAGTAGCTGCATTTTAGCTCTTTGCAATTCTAAATATTTGTTTCTAAGACGTTTCCAATCTGGTTTTGCCATGACATGCAGTCCTAGCGCATTACAAATATCATCCTCCAGAATTTTGCTTCTCTTTTTTCGATTTTTCTTTTTCTTTTTTTCATCAACACTAGCTTCTTCGATATCACTATTCATTGTTCCACTATTTCTTATCATGGAATGTTTTCCAGTTTGTAAATTTTTCTCTGCCTCATTACTTGTGACTTTACCATCATCACTTGTATTTAGACATACAGATCTTGTTCCTTTATTTTTATTTGATTTAGTCGATGATTTATGGGATTCTTTTTTCACTTCTCCACTAACATCTTCCACAATATTGGTATCGTCTATTGTGAGTCTTCTTTTTTTCTTTTCTGTAATTTTATTACGAATAATATTTTTATTTGGATTTTCTTGATTTTCTGTACTATTGTTTTCAGTGATATCAATTTTGATGTTGTCATCTGCGACAAATATTTTTTCAGAAGTAGGTTTCCTCTTTTTTACACTTTGTTTATTACTATTATTAGCTACATCTATTTCATTGTCACATGTTTTATCATTATCTTCAGTTTCATCTTTTGAAGCCTTTTCTTTTTCAATCTGTTGATCTGTTATGCTATGATTCTCAGCTTCTTTTCTTTTTTTCTTGACTTTAATATTTTCTGCACTTTCATCTGCAGTAAACGATTTTTCTGGAGTAAGTTTTCTTTTTCTTATATTTTGTTTATCATTATTATCTGCTATATTCATTTCATTATAAGGTATATTATCGCTGTTTTTACTTTCATCTTCTGATGCCTTTTCTTTTTTAATATCTTCCAATTTTGATATCTTGGAATTTGCATTATATATTGGAAATGAATGCCCATTTTGGCTAGTCTCATCATAAGTACTTATACTTAATACTTCATGGGGGGCTGTATTGTATGGTAAAACACATCCCTTTTTTCGAAACGCCTGGAAAATGAGATATTATACCATAATATTATCAAGCTACAAAATTGTTATATTTTATTTGTTTACTCATTTACAATTACACAGTGATATATTTATTCATATTACAAATATTATTTTTCCACTTTCTCACCTTAAGACATTCTTGGGCACTATTTGGTGTATCAAATTCTACAAACGCAAATCCTTTTATTTTTCTATTGCTCTTGTAACGAGGAACCGAGACATACTCTACCAATCCAAATTTAGAAAAAATAGATATTATCCAATCATGATCAGCATCTGGAGGTAAATTTTGTACATAAACTGTACATTCATCTATATTTTCCTTCTTGTTAATTGGTGTTATTCGATAGACCTTTGTACCATCTTCCGACACTTTTAATATAGTTGATTTCTGCAGAGCCTTAGCTATTCTATTTGTATCTATAGTTAGCTCGCGCAACTTGTTAAATTGTGTAAATACATCAAGATCTACATCTATACAGATAAAACAGACAAATCAATTAATATTTTAATATTTTTAAAGAATTAAAGCATTAAATAATGCTATATATTATATTAGATAAATCTAATGATTAAACTTAAGTGATTATGAATATAAAAAAGGAAAATATACTTACAAGGATTTGTTTTCAATAGTTCTGATAGAAAACGATCCTTATTCAAATTTGCATCACTGAAATAAAACTCCATTTGCTTAAGTATTGAAGCATGCAATGCTTTCTTCCTTAGTCTTGGTTTACCATGTGAACCACTCGATTTATTGTTTCGTTTAATTGTATCAACTTTTAGTTCTTGTACTTGAGGAACTGGAATATTTTCCGAAGCTAGTTCCATATCTGACCCTTGTTCTTCCATCACCATTGTATTTTCAAAAAACCATATAACAGGCTTCCTAATACAATATATCTATGTATTACAAGAATGATTTATTGGCTATTGTTTCTACAAAAGAATTGTAGTAATCAGTTTTCGAGTTATCAAAACTTGGTAAAATATTAAATGGTAGTATTATTTAATAAATATATGAAAATAATAATTGAAATAATCGCCCAATATTATGAAAAATTATAATCCGTTATTGGTCGGTATCCGTTATCCGGGATATTTTTTATAAGATATTAGAAAATATATTAATATATTTTTTTTATTTATATTCGTTCTCTGCTTTTCATATTCTTATTTTACTAAAATATATATGTAAATGCACAAAATTTCATAGAAATTAAAGGAAGAGTATTTTGCATAATATATATTTACCTTATTTGTAACTCTTGATATTAATAATAATTACGTACGTATAGATTCACATAGGTTATAAGAACTCTCAACGATAACATGACGGCAGAGATTATTAGACCCATAGACATAGTATATCTAGACCGAGTGTTGAGGAGTGGGAGCCGAGGTGCACGTAGAAAAGGACATACTCTGTTTCGTGCCCCTTGCGTTCTCTCTCGCTCGCACGTAGCATGGCGAAAGAATATTCTGCAAAAATGGGTATAGTTATGACCCATGCAAACGTACGTGTAGACAATTTTTCCATAATATTTCATTTACTATTGCAAATATGTATTTGCTATTAATTCTTTTTTGGTAATTCGTATTAATTATTTTTAATTTGAATTCAATTTTTATTTCCAAAATAAGATTATGCGAAATTATTGTTATATTTTTCATTAAACTGCGAATGGAAAGTAATATCCGCCTATCCCCCCGCATGTTTCAAATTTTACTCATCTTACTATTATAATGAAGAAAGACCCAAACATATTTCAAGGAATCCTCCCCAAGAAATTATGATATCGAATAAATTAACATAAATAATATTAAAGAATGTATTAAAAAATGACAAACTTTAAACGAAAAACTCGAGAGAATAAGACGAGAAAAAATCGTAATATTAAGAAATTAGAACTAATCAAAACTCAATTAATCGAACTTAAAAATGATCAAAGTTTGATCAAATAATTTAAATTTTTATGTCGTATAATTTTTTTAAAGCACAGAGAAAGATGTATTTCATACCAGTTAAAAATCTAACTTCTAATTATAAGGACAATGAAAAATAGCGATTTTGTGTAAGAAAAATTTTTCATATCAAGCTATATCGTCATTGTATTACATCACAGTTGGCAAATCATGATCATTTTTTGAAGTAAAATAATTACTGTTTTAATTGTAAGAAAAATATACGAAGAGTAAAATTCAAACATAAAATTTGTTAACGGACATTTTTCTCAATGTCTTATATTATTTATAAGTCCAATAAAAGAAATCGAAATTATCATAATTTTTTTTTTGGGATTACCAAAATATGTATATTATTGGTTTTATTAAAATATACATATATTATGTATATTAAAAATATATTAAAAGTGTTAGTATATAGAGAATATTTCTTATTGTATAGTGAAAAGCATATCAATGTAGTGTCACGTATTTGAAAACGAGTATGCAGCGTAATATTATGTGGCGACTGTTAATGTTTGTTAAAATTACGTGAGATTAAGTATTTCCATACTAACATAATATTTACGGGGCGACGCGTGGCGCCGGGCGTAGAGTCTGGTAATCGAGAGATCCAGGTTCGATTCCGCTCGAGGTCCCCATCCTTCCCACATGCCTCAAAAGAGGTTTTTCCACAAATTATCATATAAAACTCTATCCTTCCACTTCCCCATATGCCTCAGAAAAAGGTTTCACATTATCCTATAAATATGTAAAGGTGTAAAAATACATACGATATATCTGTTGCTTCAACGAAGCTCATTATTTCTGCAAACCTGAAGTCTTTCGGTCTCCGTGGTATGTTGGACTCTCTCTTATATCTTATGAAGCAATCTTTTAAATACTTCCAGCGCTTGCTGGCTTCTTCCGCCGTTAATAAACCTATAATAATAAAATCTTATGTAAAATCGTATGCAAAATACATGTATGTTTTAAAAAATTAAGATCTTCAATAAATGTAACAAACCTTCCATCAGGTTTTCCACCTGTTCCCACAGCAGTCTTTTTTTTGTTTTGGTTTTTTTATACAAAGGGACATGTGGATCCCACAATGCTGGGAGACCTTTCACTATTTTAATCAGTTTTTCGTCGCGGTACTCTTTGGACTCTTCGTATTCACTTATTTTTGAAAATTCGAAAAACGACTGTGTCTGCTCCTTGCGAGCAGAATCTAAATTCTTTAGGTTTTCTTGGGAAGCTGGACTCTCTTTTATACCTTATAAAACAATCTCTAAGGTATTTCCAGCGTTTGCTGGCATCATCTGCCGTTATTAAACCTTGCTTGCTTAGGTATAAGAAGGTTGGCTCCGGCGAATACTCGCCATACGGCCATAAACAGGTTATAGATATATATATAAAGGATAATGTAAGAGTAGTTGTGTTTATATGTAGGTTCTTCTTAGGGAAAGTGAGAAGGAAGGAATTTTTGGGAGGTGATAGGAAAGTAAAAATGGAAAAACGCAGGCCAGGGTTGAGCCGGGAATCGAACCCGAGATCTCCGGGATGTGAGTCAGGCGCGATAGGCACTGAGCCACCGGAGGACCCTGTTATTAAACCTATAATAATAAACAAAATTTTAAAATACATGTATGTTTCAAATAATTAAAATATTCAATAAATGTAATATTTGAATATTTATACAAACCTTCCATCGCGTTTTCCACTTGTTCCCACAGCAATTTTTTTTGTTTTTGTTCTTTTATATAGGGGAACACGTGGATCCCACAGCGCTGGGATACCTTTCACGATTTGAATCAATTTATCGTCGCGGCACTCCTTCGATTCTTTGTATTCACTCATTTTTGCTTCAAAATTCAAACGCGACTGTGTCTGTTCCTTGCGAGCAGGCTCTTTTATATTTTTCGAGCAATTATTTGTTTATTTAGAAATTCGATTTGTTTTAATAAAACTATATAATTTATTTTTGACGTAAATGTATTTTTCTTGTCATATTACATATGAGAGAGAAAAAAAAGGATAAAGAGAATGATTTTAAAAAGCAAAAAATTAGATATACATTTCCTTATATACATAATTTTTAACGTATCTGTTATTTCGTTGATTACCAAGGTAAACTTTTAATGCTTGCCAAAAACGAACTCGCGAAAAAGCAACATAAAGTTGCCCATGATTAAAAACATCATCATCATAATCATTATCATAATTATCATCATCATTACTAAAAAAAACATGGAAAGTCCATTATTGCTTCTTTTCCGGGATACTGATTAGTTGTTTCGAAACTCGATCTCGATCTCGATGTGAGTCGCATATTTTGATTCATATCTGTCAAAAAAGAGACAGAGAGAGGGAGAGAAAGAAAGAAAAGGAGGAGAAAGGAAGGCACTTTATTTAATATTAAAAAAGTCGAAGAATAAGCGAGATAGAGATAGATAGATAGATACAAAAATAGATAGATAGATAGATAGATAGATAGATAAAGAGAAAGAGAGAGAGAGAGAGAAGGAAAAAAAGGAATATGAGAGAGAAAGAGAGAAAGGCGTTTGGATGTGTGTGTGAAAGTTTGTGTCTAAGAGGATTAATATACTCTTAATATAATTACTTATTAATTATTTAATAATTAATAAGTGTTATAATTAATAAGTATTAATAGCGTGTAATAAAAACCAGTGTAATGGCGCGCACGTAGCGCGTGCCTGTTTTGTTCTAGTACAAACTAGAAAAAGCGTAACTGCAGGTTCCCTTTAATAGTGTTGGATGTGTTCTGCTTGACGCTACGAAAGTTTTGTTTTATCAACCAATCAGGAGAAAGATTTCTTTGCTCTGATTGGTCAATCAAACATTCCGAAACTTTCGGTGCGCATTCTGTATTCTGTGTCCATAATGACAGTTGGCGCCGCGGAACGTCGTGGAAACAATATTCGGGGACAGTGTTTGAAAACACGGAAAAGATGCGGACGGGATCGTCCGCCGCTTCCCGTGATCGCGTGTATATACGGTGAATATCGGGCGGTTGCCGAGGTAACGCATAAAATGAGACGTTATGTTCCATTCGGCGCGATTTCTTAACGGGTTTCTCATCCTTCTGCCGACGATCGCGCTGTGCGATGGCGCGAACCAGACGTACGAGATCGACTGCAATAATTTACGAATGGGACAATACATCTGTCCCCATCCCGATTACGATTTCATAGACCACAATACGCAACAACCACGCGGATGTACCAAGGAGAACAAGGCCAAAGGTAAGCTTGATCTCGTTCGAGATTTTAGAGCATTCTTAACCTCTATTCTAGAGACGTTTTATTCATATGTATCTATGCTCGTTCATTTCATATTATTATTTTTGTATTTTATTTGTACATTTAATATAAAATAATGTACATTCAGACATTGAAAGATGGAGGAAGAACGTAGAAAGCGCAATTAAGAAACAAGTCTATTGCTCATTTCATTCTCTCTGTAAATCTTGGTTGCGTATGTTGCCTTTGGTTGCGTTGCTTTTTTTGCATTATTACATTTGGAGACAACTATTCAACGCGTGCTAGAGAATCTTTGAGAGAATTATATTATTTTAACAAGACTAAACATAGATTTTTTTTACTAGTGTTATGTCTAGTTGCTGATGGTCTCATCTGTACAGAGACAAAAAATAATACTTTCAAAAAGGATATACCTTGCAAATGGACGTAAGTACGATTTGGTATTTTAAATGAGCATAATTAGAGTTTCTTCAGAAATATTATAGGAGAGATTTAAGATATTTACTTCAGAATATAATTGCTCTTAGGAATGGATATTCTTTCGAGACATCATTATTGTTGTCGATATTTCTTGGTATGTTCGGCGCGGATCGATTTTACCTTGGATATCCCGCCTTGGGCTTACTCAAATTGAGCACACTGGGGTTCCTTTTTCTTGGCCAATTTGCTGATGTAATACTGATAGCTACACAAATTGTAGGACCAGCGGATGGTTCGCATTATGTGATGCCATATTATGGTGCCGGAATTAACATTGTGACGAGCAACAATTTTACGTATAGAGTGCCACAATACGAATATTGAGAGAAAAGAGCAAATCTGCTATACAAATGGGAATTTTTTAAAAATATTGTATAATCTCTTCTACCGCGAACAACGATGTACAATCCTAAATTTGAGTCCTATTTCGCTATATATTTGAATGTGAATTAGTCTCTATATTATTATATTATATTACTATTCCAATGAATAAGCTGAATACTAATTTGTAGATATACATTTCAACGAAATACTGTATATAAGAATTTATGCATTGCCAGGTAATATAATTGAATAATAAATTTACAGCGTTTATTTCTACATTTTCTGTTATTCATCTTTTTCTCAATTTTAATTAGGTTTTTCAGAACGTAGGTAGCGGCGATCGAGTTTTAAATACCGCAATTATGACTCAATTGACCTTGAACGATTTATCACGAAATTGTAAACTATACCTCGTACCGTCCATGCACCGTAATTAGCTTCGTGCGATTTCACATTCGTTCTTAATCTCTCGTTCTTCTGATATAAACGCGGAAATAAGAACGTTTATTATCTAACATTCATTATTATCATCTTGTATTGTATGTGTTGGAAATCTCAAGACAATGAACTGAAAATGTGCATCATGTTACCATTTTCCATTATTTATTAATCGGCACGTTTCCGATATGAAAATATATGTCTGCACATTTCTTTCTTTGGTAAACTCTTTCAAGGTATTATCATTTTGCGAGAATTAAAAAAAAACAGAAACGTTTTATTAAATCAGTGTTCTGGCAGACACATCGTTGAGAGACGACGAGCCGCTCTGCATCATGACTTCATTTACGAAGATTATATTTCGACTTTTACCGCTCGGAATTGTACTGTTAATTGCGGCAGTATATCATTCCTTGAGCGATTATAAAGTAAGTATTTTTTTTATTTATTACATTATACATATTTTATATATACACATACAAAATTATTATCTAATTTGTAAATATACGTATATATATAAAGGTACAATGCATTATAGAAAGAAAACTTGTAATTTCTTCTTAAAAGACATTATTAACAGATAAAAACAAATAAATTGCATATATATTTGTCACTTTGTACATTTATATGCATTTTTCAAATAATGAGAAGAATGTAATGTGAAAATTTTATTTTAGGCATTATATTTATTTTATTATATATATATATATGTATAAAATCTTTATACCTTTTACATATATATCAAAGAAATAATTTTTGCAGTATATTGAAGTAGAAGAAAGCATTATTAATCTGCAAGTATCCCGGCATCGACGAGCGATTAATCCCAAAACTGTACTTCGTTGCAAGTTCAATCAGTATTATGACCAGGAAGAAAGACGTTGTCTAGGCGTGCCCGGAGGTGGTAAAGTGCTTCATGTTGAGAACGGACAATCCTGCGGCGTCAACATTTTGAAACCGCATTGCACCAGCTCTTTGTATTATCACATCTGCAAACGTGACAAGTCGATTCTAGCGCAATGCGCAAATAGACAGATTTTCGATAGTCGTCTACAACGATGTGCCTACTACGATTCAAGCAAAATGACTCCCAGCACTATTCAACCGAACAATCGCGAGTATTACGAACACGTTAATGTATCATTTTCGGTGCCAAACTGTACGGCACTCGGCCAGTTTCCCGTACCCGATCATTGTTATATGTTTTATACATGTGATACGAATGGACATACACTCCACCAGAGTATCTTTAAATGTCCGCGAAACACGGGGTATCAACCAAACAGAAGAGTCTGCACTGTCATGTCAGATTGTGAGAACAATGACTCGGTAGACTCCGTTTGTGTTCAAGATGCGCCTGGTGAGAATGTGGAATCACTAAATTCTAAAGAAACTACAGAAGAAAATGTCGAAGAAACTACTGAAATATCCGAAGAAAGCGAAACCAGGAATGTAAACGATTCTGCTTCGAAAAGGGAGGAAAGCATAAACTCCAAGACCTATGATGATATTATCTCCACTACTCCTGAAAGTGTAACAAGTAATACACTATCAGTGAACAATTATGGAGATAATAACGGCGATTTATACGAAGCAAGTTCATTGCCCACGCAACCAATCCAAGACATTTCAGTATCTGATGGTTCTGGTGAAACATCAATGCTCAAACAAGCATTGAATCCGACCGAAAGCGCGCGAGAAGTACAGAATGAGAAATACGACTTGGTATCGCCATTAAACTTACAAATTACATTACCACCAACGGTAGAACTCGATGATAACGCACATTCCATAATGACACTGATGACCTCGACACCGATGTATGATACAGATATAAATTCCAACATTGATAGTGAGACAGCTGATACTACTCCCTTTTCTACAATCAGCTACACGTCATCGAAATTAGATGAAAGAACGCAGCATATAACAACGGAACAGTATAACAACGACGAAACAGTAACATTACCGAATTCAAACACTGAAACTCTTGATCCATATTCCCCATCAACAATAAGTAATATCTCAGAATTCTCTTTAATCAACGATAAGTCATTGAATGTGGACGAAGAAAAGCGGGATGTGACTGGAGCAATCGATTCATATCAAACATCAACAATAAGTAATGTACCAGAATCTTCTTCGATCGTCGATACGCCATCAAAATTAGGTGAAGAAACGCAGGACACAACTATGGAAGAGTATAGAAATAATGATGATGGAGCAATGACACTACCGAATTCAAACACTGAAGCAATTGATCCATATTCGACATCCACAATAAATAATGTACCAGAATTCTCTCCAATTAGTGAAACGTCATCTAAATTATATGAAGAAACGCAAAGTACGGTCACAGAACAATACGGAAATGACGACAGAATAACGACACCAGCAAATTTTAACAGTGAAATGGTTGATCAGAATCCGACACCAATATTAAGCGATATATCTGTAACCACAGATAGTCCAAGAAATGATTTTGATACTTCTACATCGGCATCTGCAATTTTATCACCACAAGCAGACATCAATGATGATCAGTTTTCCAAAGAATTATTTAAAACTTCTCCTTCGGTTGATAGTAAATTCGTTGACCCCGACTTAGATGTGCCGGAAGCAATCGAAAATGTTTCTACTGGATATTCATTCGAACATACTGACACTTTAGATTTAACATTGACGACAAAGTCCACTTTAACTCTGGAACACATAACTGCATCAATGGACATTACGACTATAACACCCACAATACAAAATCTACCTGCTATTTCAGACACAGATCTGATAACACAGAATGGTAAGGATAGCACAGAAGCATTGCCCTTTATTGAGCAAGATGCTGCGCTTACAAATAATTAATATCATAAATGCATTCATAAAATATATATAATATGTTTTTGTTAGAATATACATATAGGGATATCATTGATAAAAGATATGTGTAATCATAAGAATATTACACTAAAAATATATCTAAAGAGAATAATAATTTATTATAATCACAATCAATAATTTATTTCCCGTTTTTGAGGTAGTTATGAGCAATTAATATAATACATAAAATCCTTTTCTATATATTGTATATATACACACACACACACACACACGCATTATGATACAAAAAAAAAATTATTCTACAAAACAGAATAAATAATAACCTACTAAATAATTACCTACCATTTTTCATTAATCGTTTGTACCAATATAGCTTGCACATGGTTTTAAATATTATTATTATTACATATTTTCCTTTTCTTGTTCGTTTACGAGTGTGTAATAAACGCCTTTCCGTTTAATTAGTTCCGAATGCATGCCCATCTACAAGAAAAAGAAAGAGAAAAAAGAGAGAGTATTATATATTATTTATATATTATCTAATAATGGCATCACACACATTAATTTTATTGATCAAAGCATACCTCCACTATGACACCGCGTTGTAATACAACGATTACGTCAGCGCCTTTAATGGTACTTAATCTATGAGCGATCACAAGTACCGTTCTACCTCTCGTAGCATTTTCAATCGCCTTTTGAACGACCCTTTCGCTTTCATAATCCAATGCGCTAAATAAAAAAAAATAGATAAGCACGGAGATATCAATTTTACATTATTTCATCATTACTTGTACCTTGTAGCCTCATCTAGAATTAAAACAGATGGTTGTTTTAGCAAGGCCCTGGCAATAGCAACCCGTTGCTTTTGTCCACCAGAGAGCTGCGCACCTCTCTCGCCGACCTCGGTCGCGTAACCGTCTGGAAACTTTGTTATAAATTCATGCGCATTTGCTTCTTTAGCTGCTTCAATGACCTGGATTGATGATTAAGTATGTAAAGTGTTTTTTTTTTTTATATATATAGTAATAATCACACATTATAATTGCAATATCCTACTATCACCTCTTCATCTGTTGCATTTTGTCTCCCAAATCTAATGTTTTCCATGATGCTGGTAGCGAATAAAGTAGGCTCTTGATTTATATAGCCAAAAACGTTACCTCTGAGGTAACTCGAATTAAGAGATCTAATATCTCGACCATCAATAGTAATGGAGCCTTCATCAACATCATAAAACCTATAATATTTTTACATTTTTATATAGTATATATTTTATATATCTCTGTGAATTTCAAAATATATGATTGTTATGGATTATTATGGACCTTTCTAATAATGCAGCCACAGTTGATTTACCGTTACCACTAGCACCAACAATATTAATAATTACATCATATATATAAATATATACAATGTGACTGCTTCTCTTTTTATGCATATCTACATTTTTTTTTTTTAATATTTGACCAATACAATTAATTATAATATAAATTCATAATTACCTTGAAATTATCGAGGAATTATTATGATATCTAAATAATACAGCGCGTAACATAGACATATTTTTGTGATAAAAATTTTTATCAAACAAATTGTCGATATTACTTATTATGCTGACATATATTTCGTATCTTGTGTATATTTTGTATTTATTATGTTTGCATCAATATTAATGACTGTAATACGTAGACATGATAGAGATTTTTTAATTTAACTATATAAAGGTTATAATAATAATAATAATAGTATTGCTACCAAGGGCGCCGCCATATTTTAATGCGACCATATGTAGTTCCATTAACTTCCCACAGATAGCGCTCAATGTGCCATTTAAATTGCGCAGTATGAACAGTATGAAGTCATTTTTACATTCTCGTATTTATACATGTGTAATTCGAAGTTTATAACTTTGTAGAAAAGAAGTTATGTGAATGACAAGTATATTTTGAACATTTCAGTGTGTGTGTGACGAAAATATTACGGAGAAATCTATTTCTTCGGAGAATCTCGACTTTTCGTCAAAATCAATTAGAGGACCTCGAGAGGATAGACTAAATAAATGTGGTTAGAGATCGTATATATATATATATATATATAAGGTAAGATTATTTTATTCAAAATATACACCAACATATACATACAAGTTAGAGGGAGATATCGCGTTGAATAGCGAATTGTATCGCGATTATAATAGAGATAAATAGAGAATTCAATGGAAGATAAAAATATATATTATTCAGCGTATCGTGAGAGAGAAATTCTTTAATCTATTTAACAGAGTCGTAAAATTCACTCGTTGATATCTGTAAAATAAAACTCGCCTCTCTCTTGTATTATTTACAACTTTCCCAGAATTGTCGAGAATCCGCGAACAATCCCCGATATCTTTGACAACGAAAGTAGAAACGCGGACTTTGAGATCAGTAAGCTAATACACATATATGTCGCGTGTGCGTGTAGGCGCGGATAGAAAAAGCTCGAAAATTGCATCTCGACAACGAAGGGTCCCCGCGGCCGGATGAATGGCGTGCGCTGGGCCTTAAAAGGCCTTAATCGCCCCGGCAAACTCTTTGAGCGGCGAGTTAATGACGTGTATTTATGTATTCGCCGCGTTTAATTGCCTGTGTGGCTATTAGCGCTCTATTCCGCGTTCTCTCCCCTGGCGGTTGAATACTACTTGCGATGTAGGGGTGAGTTTATTCTCTTGCGCGCGCGAAGCACGCTGCGATATTCAGAGTGGTGGAATTGCCTAATCTAGGAAGACAAAAAAGTGATTATAAAGGAACATTTAGTGCATCTTTCTTCTTTTTATGCGCTTTAAGATCATTTATTTCAAATAAATTTATCTGAAAAATTTTAAACTATATATACTTATTTATATAAAAAATTTCATTTTTTTTTTGTTTTGGAAAATTCAAATCACATAAATTCAAATTCAATTCATGATTATTGTAAATCAAAACGAAGAATTTGAAACTATATAATGCAATAACAATCAAGATTAAAATTAAAAATTACACTTATTTATTTACATGCAATCATAATGTTTCTTTTTTAAATATTGAGCTAAATAAATAATTATTTTGCAACCTAAATTTTTAAAATCTCGTCTAATGCAGGGGGGAATATATTCTCCTGAAAATCGCGTCTCGATCGTCCTTTTCTTTCTTGTAATAACATAGGCTTTTAAATATCTTCATAATATAATGCATAGAAGAGAGAAATTTTTCTTAGAAAATATCTATTTTTCAAGCTTATACATATAAATCAACGATAATAAAGGAATATGTAAATTGAAATTTTTTAAAATAGTATGATCTGGTCTAGTGGGATAGCTAAATTTTACATTTTGGAAAACTATATTCCCTGCTAGAGATTTATCCGCGATTATATCACCACCGGTCATCATTAGCGAAGGCGGCATATCCAGATACTGTAAGAGATATTTATGGTTTCTAAAACTCTTGTGTGAATAAAGCTGCATAATTCGAATAAAAATACCTGTAAAACTCTGGCACCTGCGCTTTGTCCCCTAACAAAAGTTCCAAAAAGCATGGACAATTGGCCTAAAGACTTCTGTATGGTCTGTGTAGCCATTAAAAATGCCATGAGATTTCCTGGAGACAATTCTCCTGTAGAAAGCAAGTGGCCGCCAAAATATAGCGTGGAGAGTAAAATACCGTTAAGTAATAAATTCGTTCCTGCTTGAAAGAAACCTATACCAAAACCTAATCGTTCATAAAGCTCAGACGAATGTTCAACTTCTTTGTAAAACATTTCTGCTTCTTTCTCTTCCGCGGCAAAAGCTCTCACCTGGTAAGAAGTAAGTGAATAAAGTGCAAGATAAAAGATTTAATAGCATTCCTTTTTAATTAACTATTTATCTGCAATACCGTTCGGATATTTTGTATAGCTTCTTCGCAAACGGCAGTCGATCTTGCGACTTGATTTTGGGCTTCCATTGACAACTTGCGTAAACTTTTTCCCAGGAGAGTACCAATAAAAATTATTGTAGGTAAACTAAATACCACAAGAGTAGTCAATTGTGGTGATATCACTATTACAGAGATAACACAACCAATAATTTGTGTGAGGCTTCTCAAGCCTTGAGCAATGCAAGTCTTAAATGAGCTCTTAAAGTCTTGAATATCACTAGTCAATCGACTTACTATTTCACCAGAACGTGTTTTGTCAAAGAATTCTATATCTTGCATAATAATTGACTTGAACAAATCTTGACGTAAACTCACTGCAATTCTCTCACCCACATGGGAAAGTGTATAAATATATACAAAAGTGAAAAATGCCTGGAAAAAGATTAAAATTTATACAGATGAGAATATTTGATTCTGTTATGATCTTTGATTGTAAAAATTATTATCTTAATCATGTTACATACTTGTGCAATATACATGCGTGCCAAAACAAAAGCTGGTTGAGTTAGTTGTAAGATAATTTGTTTTGTAGAATCGCTTTTGTTTTGACATATTTCCGTGAGTACATTTATAACACTTCCAACACACTGCGGTATTTGAATATTTAATAGTGCAACTATTAATGCACTCTATAAATACAAAATGAGAATATTATTATTTGTATAATATGAGATTTATAAATTACAAATACTTACTGATAATGCTAGCAATAAGTACCAAATATGTGGATATAAATATTTAAAAAATTTTGTCCATTCAAAGGTCAGTTCAGGAGTGTCAGATTTGATATTGTTAATTCTTTTGGCTTCTCTACAGAGCACAATTTGATTACGTGATCTCAAAATACAAGCAGTTGTTACTCCTAATCCACTAAGACCAAATTTAAAAATATATGAGGAAAACTTTGATTTATTCATATTTTCTTTGCAACATTTTTGAGTATTTTTAGTGAATTCACGTTTTGCTATTCCCCATATGTTTTGGTTCTTTCCGTGTAGAATATATTTCTGTATTGGATACCTGAAATATTTTATCAAAATTAATTGAAAACACAATGTTATTCCTAAATCTTAGAAAATATCTATTTTTCAAGCTTATACATATAAATCAACGATAATAATCTATGTTTTGTCCCTCTGATTTTTGGCTTAATCTTTCTCTTGATAAAATTTTGTTCTAATAGAAATTTTAATTTTATTACATCGTATTTATGTGTTTTAAGATTCTTCAGATACAATTAAGATAAACATTTAAAAAAGATCTGTAAATACTAATCTTGAAAGAATCGATGCAACATTTTTCTGCGCTCTTTTTTTAAATACAAATTGTTTACTGTGCTTATACATGCTGCGGGAATCCGTTAGTTTTTCCTTTTGCACAATTCATCTGCGAGTAGGGCGGTGAGCGAGAGGGTAAGTTGTTGGAGCGCGTGTTTTTCAAGAATGCTCTTTACGAAGAATATCTTGCAAACGAGTTTGCGTCATCTGTGGTACTCAACGTACTCAGAGAATGACGAGAACTTCACATTAGACCCTTCCTCTCAGATCTACAAAAGCCATCGAGCCGAGGTTGCCCTTTTAACCCAGATTTGCGCCATTCGCGATCGTTCGTCTTATCATCGTTTTTAATACTTTTTAATTCACTACATATATACATATATATCCTTTCCTTCATCCTCTGCGATATTTTGAGAATCAACACGATAGTCATAAAAGTAACGATGAAAGAAAAAGTTTTATTATAATCACAAAAAGCTTTGAAATAACATTATATTAATTTAATATTAATATGATAATTATATCATATTAATATTAAATTGAATGATAATTATACATAAGTATATTTAGGCTTTCATTGACTCTTAATAACCATAAATTGCCCAAATATAAATGAGGCAGTTTTTATTATTTAACATAATATTTATTAACATAATAATTAAATTTTAAATAAAGTATAGAGGTATCTTAATATATATATATATATATATATAGCAAATATATATTAATACTTATATATTAATGTGCAATACAGGATAGACGATTACATCTAATGTTATCAATGTAAAAATCAGATATACCAAAGTTTTCATTCCTGAAGGATATAGCGCATTCCTAAAATTTTATTCAGATTGTCGTGTCTAATATCAAGAAGACGCGTCTTTTTCGCGGAAAAATATTTCATCGTAGTACTTGTACCATTATACGCGTGTATAAATCATCGAAACCATATACTTTTCGCGAAGAATCCAATATCAGAGATTTTTTATTTAAAGGAAATCTGTGCAAGCAGACGAATATTAAAGCGAGAAAGTATAATAAAACGAAGAAAGCGAGGAAAAGAGAGAGAAAGAGAAAGCACATGGGTGAGGGAGGAAGAATTCAAGTATAAGCATTGTAACTGCGACAGTTTGCCGCGCCGTGACGGTCGAAGAATGGACCAAATGAAGCCTTCTAAATTTCAACACCCTCTTCGTCTCGCGAGCCTCTCCGTCTTGCCGCTACAAACCGGTATCCCATTGCCTTTCCTTTTTCCCCCGTCCTCCGTCCTCGCCATCCCGTTCTGGACGAAGCGATCCGCGGCGGCGGGTACGAAAGCCTCATCCGTGAAACACACGCGGTGTGCAGGTGCCGGCGAGCGACGGGGTGGCGATGACGCAAAGTCAGCGCGGGCCAATGGACTCGGCTCTGGAAACAGCCGGAGAGCGGTGCACCGACTGCCGGCTCGCGATTGGGCGTGGCTCCAGGGGGGTGCCCTCGACTCCCCGCTATCGGGGGTGGGAGAATCCCCAAAGTGTGCCCCGGGGTGTAATATCATACCGCTAGGTGGATAAATAGACGTAGTACGCGAGGGTATGTCGGTGCGCCGAGAGGAGCGACGAGGAGGAGAGGCCGTGGAAGAGGGACAGGGACGGGGGGAGACGGGGGAGGGGAGAAAGGGAAGCGAAGAGGCGTAGTGTAAGTAGGGGAAGGACGAAGGGACGGAGGTTTCGGGGATATATATACATATATATGCGAAATGTGTAGGGAGAGATACGGCGGAGAAGGAGGACGATGGAGAGGTCGCGGATGGTTGCTCGAGGCCAGCCGGAGAAGAGGTGGGATCCAGGTCTGGTTAGAAAATGGTCGCGCGGCAGGCGCAAGGGGGGTATGGTGCGGGAGAGGGATGCACAAGGTATACGAGGAATCGGGCGGCTGTGTGCCACGACGACGGCGAACTAGAACAAATAATGGTTGTAGTCAGCCTCAGCTTCCGGAGAGGTATTTTCCAGTCGCGCGAATCGCTCGGGCACGCTCGGCGGAGAAATGTGAGCTCCAAGGCTACCAAGCGCCAAGCGGGTGGGGGTGCGCATCATAAGATATATATATATATATATATATTAATTCTCAAAAATGTTAAAACCCCGAAAGAAAAATTTGCTCAGCTTCGACTGCATTCCTTCCTCTAAATAAAAAAAGATTAGCATTACGAATAACAATTTTCAAAATAAAAAAAATGTTAATATCTTTTAATATTCTTCCGTCGCTTTAACAAAGTTAATTAAGTCAAGAGATTGCAATGTTATATAAAAAAATTATTCTCAAGACAAAAAAAGTACATTTACACGAAAATGAGAAAATAATCCGTTTTATATATTCGTCGGATTAATAATTATATCGCAAGAAACAATTATCGCGCGTAGCAAAAACTCACATTCTTTCGATGTAGCCCTCTTTTGCAAAGCTAATTTCACAAATTTACGTAACTATGGTTCGAAATTTCATCGATATCGCTCAGTGAGTCTTCCCGCGTTCTTGCGTCAGCAATCTTTACACATGTACGGACGTGCCACGAGATCTAAATGCATCCACAAGCGGATATATGATGTACCTTACGCGCAGTAATTCGAGAAAACGCCGAATCGACCGTTGTCGGGACATACGGGCATTTCGCTGAATCGCTGTAACTCTATTACATCGGTGAACGGAATGGATGGATCTTTTTCTGCAAAGTGTCAGTCGTTCGTAGATCTAGTTACGACACACGTTTGTCGGGACCAAAAAGGCATAAAACGTATAAAACAATTTAAATATAAAGTAACATCTGTTCTCATCTATATATATTTTGTAACTGTACAAATTAAATGTTTTTTGGAATGCAATAAATTTCGTGTAGGCGCGCTTTTAAATAATATCAATAAAATATATATTAAATATTACTCTTTTTTTCTATTCTTTACAATAACTTTGAAAAAATTTTATTCGTGAAAGAAAATAGAAGAAAAACGCGTGAAGTATTAACAAAAAAAAATAAAATAAAATTTTGGGTCTCTCGATGCATGTGCAAAATTTTATGGATGCTCCGTAATTCGTCGCAAATATATTTTCGTCGTCATATGCTTCGGATTTGCGGAAGTAAATAGCGACGCGCAAGAATCCGCCGGGGAACGATATCGGTGGATCTAGTGCGGGGAAAACGAGCTATCATCGAGAAAAGCTGGCGCGCCTGAAGCAGCCATCGCGTCTCGCATGCGATTTTGTAGAATGCTGAGCGCAGTGTGCAACGGAACAGGATGTTGTCAGCTGAAATTAAATTTTCCTCCTAGGGCGGTGGGTCGCTCAGCAACCTGATATTGTGGGCGTTAAGCTACGTACATGTCTACAATGCGCGCGGCTGATGCTATCTTCGCCAATGTTCGCTTTGCCGCAATCTCGATAAATTATCGAAGATATATTAATTTTCTTTTTAATTCTTAACCATCAATATATCTGCATTTAATCGATCGCTATATAAAAAGTTGTTGCAGAGTTTCTCATTTTCTATTTTGTATCAATTTCTCAAAGAGAAAGAGCCTCGACCCCTTGAAATTTGCGTTCAAATTTGATTACTTTCGTAAATATTTTTATCGCTTTTTTAAATTTTTTTTTTACGGAACACTGTGCAAGAGTAACATGTTCGTGGGGCACAAAAATATCTCTCTCCGATCCTGAGGAAGAAAAAGTCGCGACAATGGCGGGATACTCAGTTTTCTTGGACTTTCCCCGCTTGGTTACTCCTAGGGTAGCGAATAAATGGCTACCTCGTTTCTCGTGCACCCTTGAAGTTGATTGTATCAGGGGGCGGGAGAGAAAAGAACTGTGTTGAAGGAGCGGACAAAGGAATGAGCGAAAGAACGCAGGAAGTGCGGGGAACGAAGCAGATGACATCGCCTTCCATGACGCGACTATTCAATGTATTTGCCGTTCTCGAGCGAGTTATTATGATTTGCATTACTATTTTCCGTTAAACATATATTATTCATATCTTGCTTTAAAGCAAGACAGGAATTATCGAATATACCAAGAAAATATTTTTCCACATTTAATACGGTTCTCTCTTTCTCTCTCTTTGCAATATTGATTCACTTTATTTATATATCTAAATATTATTCATGGGGAGTATTTTTTAAAATGATGGATCACATTTTTGATCTAACGTTTATTCCGTTTCACATCTTATCGATGTGTTGCACAATAATATGTATCTCTATTGAAAAGAAAACTTCTTTTTATTTGGTGCGTAACTTTGTCTTGTGTACATTTTTGAATTATTCAAAACTGTGCGTATTAAATGTACAAATTTTTGCGTTGCATATAAGAAAGGACAAAAGACGGAATCCGTATTTACAATACATACACAGAATGACAATGCTATAAGTAAGCTTAAAATTTTCATAGACTTTCTTCGTTTTATTATTATTTACGTCAAAACCGTAACTAATTCATTTTAATCTCGAAACTATTTTAATCTAGATATTATTAGGTTAAAATTAACTTTATTGGATCAAAATTTATTTGCATGCTGTTAACCTATTCTCTTTTACGACGAAGCCGATCGTCATCCGGTTATTATAAAGTTTATTCATGTGTGCCATATTTAATATTAAATATTTCTCAACGCGAGATAGCATGATACACATCCTTCGGACAAAACAAATTACATTTAGCATCAGATGGGTGCTAAATGTGGATTATGAATAACGAACGGTAATGTCGAATCCACAATTTGCCGCGGCGGCAGATCGGATAAACAGATTCGTCCACATATCGTTGAAATATTTATGAATTATTCGACGTGATGGTGCGGAGCATTGTGTCCATCGCGTGCGGTGGCTTATGAGCTCGGCTTATCTTCCTTGATATACCCGGGGATCACTTTGAAATAAATGACTCTCGGCGCGACCAACGACATAACCATTAAAGGACGACCCCTCTCGTCCAGCGAGTACGCGGTGACGGGGTAGATCGCTATAAATTACGACCGGCATTAGATCGTAAAACTGTGGGGCGCGACGATCGATTTGTTTGCGAGATCGTCGTGCATCACTGAG